AGTGTGAAATATATGCATGTAGAGTAAATTTCCTGTGTGATTTTTTTAATGTAAAATAATGGGGGTTTTAGTAGTCTATATGAAAATGCATTAAAATTAAAACTTATAAAAAAATTAAATATAAAAATGAATGATTTTTCTTTTAATTTGGGATGCAAAAACATTCTATTAATTTAAGATTTTTTAAAATATAAAATAATTGGTCTAAGATAATCATTTTATGTTTAAAAAATGTCACTAATAGACAAACCATGTACAATTAAATATAAAAACAAATGTAAAAAAATAAACTAAACACCCCTAATTTGAAATTAAAAAAGATTAATTTGATGGAAAAAATGTATGTTTCAAGCACAGGTAGGTTTAATAATGTTTAGGACTTAGGTTATACCTCTTGTACATGGCTAAAGTGAACCTATAGAATGTTAACATTTTTGTAGTTTATTGATTGACAAATTGTTGACTTGATTCTAAAAAATGAGGTAGGGGTTGGTATAATGGGTTAGTGTAAAAAGGTATTATGTACTAGCGAACACCAACTTTAACCTTATCATTTTTCAAAATTTCAAGACTCATGTCAACAATTAATTAAGGTTTTTAGTTGAGATGAAAAAAAGTTAATGGCACGAGAGGGATTCGAACCCACGACCTTCGGCTAGATACGCCGCTGCTCTACCACCTGAGCTATCGTGACCTCGATCCACTCGGACATCAACTCCCCATCTCAACCCCACCTTATGAGTTTTGCCTCCTTTTGCCATTTTTCAGGTGGTAGAGCAGCGGAGTATCTAGGCGAAGGTCGTGGGTTCGAATCCCTCTCGTGCATTAACTTTTTTTCTTCTCAACTAAAAACCTTAATTAATTGTAATGTATTAATTGGTCAAGCGGACCACGAAAGTAGTGAATTAACTCATGTCAACGTTTTTTAATGTATTGAACCACATATTTCTTCTTTAGATAGCACTATAAAATATTACAGAAAAAAAAGGATTTTTAATGAAGCAAAATGAAAGAAATTACAGTCTTAATATTTTTTTTTAATCCAATTTATTTCATTGGAAAAATTTTTTGTTTAAAACTTGATTGTAAACTGCCATATAATTTACACTATTTTCGACTTTCATCAAAGCTTTTTACTACAATGCAAATAGAAAACTTAAAAGGAAAAAAACACATATCAGTTGCACAATTTATTTGTGAAAGAAAATATTTTTTTTTTAATCAGTAGCTATCACTATTTCCAAGATGAACATGTTAGTCATTTTAGACGTTTACACCAACGATCATTAACTGCTAGCTACACGCTATGAACAACAATGTAAACAAATTATTGTCGCTAAATTATGGCTATTCTTCATTAAAACTGGATACATTCAGGAAGCTAAAAGTATTTACAGTTTTGATTTAATACATTCGCCATGATTTTGTAAACAAATTTTGATTATTGAAGGGAATGTTATATTTTTTAAAATTTTCCAAACTATAAAGTTATCTTAATATCCAAAAATCAATATATTAAACCTTACAGTAACCATACCAAAACCAACATTTTTAATTAATGGTGCATTTTTTTTTTTAAATACATATGTGTGTTTATTACAAAAACAAAAATTTTATGCTAGGTTCACAGATAACAGAACAATAAAAGTGTAGTACAAGGAAAATACAATTTATACATATAAAATAAAAGTGAGATAATCTGATTTTATATATCATATATGTTCACAGCCTGCAAAAGGAATGAATTCGCATCATGCTGATTCACATTCAATCTATCCACTCTAGACTTAAATTCATAAAAATATAATGTTCTGAAGTTTCTAAGTCGAAATGTAATTTTTTTAAACCTTATAATTTTTAATCTTGTACATTTTTTATAAGGTTTTTTCTTCTTTACATCTAACAAACTATGTGAAACGTAAATTTTTGCAGTGCAGAATGTACTCATTTTATCTCAATTTCTTTACAGTTCAATTTTTAACTGATACAACAAAAGGTGGTTATAACATTTTTTTTCTTTGTTAAAACATAAAAAATTAACTAATTATTATTTAATTTCTAAATAATAAACTCTGTATTTCGCTTTTGAAGCTAGGCACTACAAACATTCATGGAAAAACTATATAACAATGAATCTTTTATGGTTTTTTTAAATCATCGACACCAAATGATTGTGGCCTAGGGTTCGATAGAGGTGCCTTTAATATGTGCGAAATAAATCTGCCTTGAACAATCTCAAATCTTTAAAACAATATATAGTTATTTAATTTATCAATAAACTCAGCACTGGAATACAAAATGATTTAATTTTTTATACGGGGACAAATTATATTTAAATTTTGTGTTAAAATTATCTGTTTAATAGGGCAATCTTGATCTGTGACAATATGAATACTCAATAAAACCGCGACCCTTTCGACATTATTGAATTTTAAATTTTGTTAAATTGTTTGAATTAGAAAAAGTAAAAATATTATATATATTTGTTTTAAAAGGATTCCTCAATCGTGGTTCCTTTCTAGCAAAGGTTTACTTATAAATTTACATTATTATTAGACAATTATATTTTTTTAATAAAATATATCTATAATGATACATAACTATTAGTTAAACCATTTACCTACAACAACAACGGGATGATTACGCATAAAAATAAAATTTCATCCATTAAAATATTTCTAGACTATAAACTATATCACTAATTATGTAAGCTTAGTTTTTATTTAAGGCCAATGCTGATGAGAAAAAGATTAATACTGTAATCCGAATTATACTTGATCATAATCAATGTTCATGTATAATTAAAAAAAAAAAATTAAATAGTATTATTGCGTTTGAATATTTCCTCCTATGTTTAGTGTCGATTCGAAATTGATCAATACAGTACAATAAAAAATATATCTGAGGGTTCGGCGATAAAATTTCAGTCTTCATACTGAACTAAAATGTATAACTGATAAAAAAAATTGATTTAACGAGAATAAAAATGAGATAACGATGTTGCAAGGAACCACTGCTCAGGTCGTAGTTATAATCGGATGCTTTAAAAAATAAATTAAATAAATCAAAAGTTGAGCATCTTAATAAAACTTTACAACGTATCCTTACTATCTATCATCGTATAAAAATAAATTCATTCGTAATTTTTTTTACATTACACCAAATCGTTGTCATACAAATTGGCAATTACTGGCAGACAAGCGAAAGCGCCATTAATTGAATTGCCTTCTTTTGTCTTATTTTATGTAAACTTCTACTCCACATCCCAAGAAAATATCAACACAATAAATGGTCGTCGGTGGAAAAACTGTGAACTTTAAATATTTATAATTTTATGCTTCATTTATATAAGTATTATAAACTATTCTAAATGAGTGATATAAAACTAAATTAATTTAAAAAAATATATAGGATTTATAGAAAAGAAAAGCTACAGGTGAATCATTGAGAAGAAATTATTAAAACGCTAAGGCCAATATTTTTTTAATTAAATTTTTGTGGGTGCTATCATATATTTTTTACCAATATAAATAATAATTTACGTTTTAAAAAATGGTTAATACGTGCACCTCATATTTAAAAACAAAAGTGAAGATTTTTTTAATGGTGATAAGGTCGATTAAAAAAAAAAAAAATTGAGGAACCCCCAGCCACCACGTATCATAGTGTCTTAAGAAGACGTTTTGCCCTTAAAAAAGAAAAGAAAATAGGTGTTTTTCAGAACAAAAAATGAAAAAAAAAGATGACCAAATTTATTATGCATATGAAGTATTTATCTACAAAAAAATAAGACATTTTGTCAAAAATATCACAGGTTACAAAACATTACTTGTTTTTTAGTCAATTTTAGCTAGTTGTAATAGGCCAAAAAGAATCAATAATGTAATAAATTTTAGGAAAATACAAAATAATATTGTTAGTGATTCTAAATTTGTGCATAGTATAAACAAATTTTATTTTTAAAAAAAATCTGCTCTGTTTTCTTAATAATGTACTAAACATCCCTAGTGCATTACTGCAATGCAAAATTACTGTTGGGCAAGTCATCTTTTTATATGTAGATTTAACCGCTAAAAAATTTAAAAAAAAAAAAAGTGCAGATAATAAAAAGAAAAGGACTTTAATTAATTAAGTCCATAAATAAATTAGAAATTGTAACTAATTTACAATTGTGCGAATGCATTGATTTCTCGAATTTGTGTTGCAGTAAACACCAAGGGTGTCATTTCCTTCATTTCTATGAATAATTCAACTGAGTTTAAAGCAAATACTATCAAGCGACATGCTTAAAACTAAGAGAACATAAACACTCGTCCTCATATAGGTAACTCTGTCAAATATTTTACCAATTTAACAAATAAGGACTTTTTTTTTTAAATCGCTTTAGAACAATTTCATACGCTTGCAATAAAATTTACATAAAAAAATGGTAAAGTATCATGGTCAAAGTGATTTAAAAAAATACATATATATCAGTGGGATTTGGGACAGCACAAACCAGAAATCAACGAAAGGAAAGAAAAAAAAGTTTGTGCAGTGTGGGCTTAAAATATAAAATAAAATCATACTTTATCCAAGTTCTGCAATTATTCCCACATGTTTATAAATACAAAATAATAAATGTGCAATTTTAATACATACGCATGCTAATAATAATACAAATAATAATAACATTTCAAAAATATTCAAATAAATTATACTAAATAGTGGGATCAGGGTTTAAAAATTAAATAAATAATTGTAATAAAAACTGAACAAGGTTCAAATAGTAATAGTAACTAATATTAACTTAATTGAACAAAAAGTTATTCAATTAGACTAAATAAAGGAACATTTGTTTTGTTTTTTCAGACATGTAAAAACCACATGTTCAAAATGCATTGATAATAAATAATTAATGATAATGTATATTTTAAAACAAGAGAGAAAAAAGTTATAATAATGTGATGTCTACACTTTTTATTTCATTTTTAAAATATCATTTTTTTGACAAAATGTTACCTTAGTAAAACAATTATTGATCACAGTTATTTTATTCAATTAAAGAGCTTGATTTTCTTTTCCTCCGATGAGCTCTAAAAACTTATAAACTAAGCCTAACAGTATAATTCCTAGTAGATCTCCGCATGCAGTCAGGTATGGAATTGTCGTGTTGTCAGGATCGACTCCTTGCTTCCAAAAGTAATGTGTTAAAATATAAGCCAAAAACAAGAGGATTGTCACCTGAAAAAAGTGTAAAAATGAGGAAAGAAAAAATAAAGTTTTTAGTTAGGAATAACAAGTTAGGCACATTGCTTTCAAGGACATTGACATTCATTAGCTAATGTGACGTTAATGACCAATTCTTTCCGTATATAAATACATTGTCTCCTCATTGAAATGCTAATAAATTTGTTTAAACCTGTGCCAATTGCTGCTTTTAAGTAAATTTTATATCAGTTTGTACATGTACATCTTCAATGATTCGAAGGCTTTTGGTGTGTAAGGATAGCTGGGGGGGGGGCGCGGTAGCCGAGTGGTTAAGGCGTCAGACTCTCGGCTAGTAGATCACGCGGTCATGGGTTCGATCCCCACCGTCGGCTCTGGACTTTTCTGACGCCTAAGGGGAAGGTGGCCGAATTGAAAGAAATTGACACGGCACTCATCAATGGAAGGGGCGGGATCGGATCTCAGCGACCCTGAATTTGGTCCCAACCCCCTTCAAAAATGAGTTTCTTCGATGGAAGAATACCGGTTCAACGGGGGCTCAAGTTCACATTTGTGTTGCGAGCCCTCACCAAAAATATGGAGCCAGGGATAAAGTACAATAAGCTGTACAGCTCAGCTGCAGTGCTCAGGAGGGAACTCCTCCAGTCCCTGGCATAAAAAAAAAAAAATTAAACAATCCCAATGAAAATCCTAAAAGACAACAGTTGTTATACCAAATATTTAAATAGTCCTCATTGATAATCCGAAAAGAAATAGTACTCAAGAGGGCCAAGTAATTGAATAAAATTGATTGCCCTATTAAAATAAGGTAAATCTTGAAATGTAGTTCAACTACGACGTGAAGTTCGACAATAAATCCGAACTACGGTGCTTCTTTGTTTTGGTCTCTAAGGAGATGGTCAAACCAGACGAACAGACCTTAGACTCAGACGTTAGAAGGACAAGACAAATATACCAAAACATTGCCCACTTTAAGAAGCTGTCGGTCAATATCGACGAACAGGAAGTCAGACTTCTCCTGGTAGATATTAATCACTTTTATTCATATTGCCGCCACGTAATGGCCACTCTATTCTAGATGGTCACGCTTCCCTGTGTCCAAGAGATGAGTGCGCATTTTTATGTGTTTGGTTTTTCAGAACCTGAGCTAGGAATTTCGCAAAGTCGAGATGCCCTAGAAAGCCGATCAATTGGTCGACTCGTCCCTTTTGTAAAGTGACTCGTCCTACATCTGATCTTGTAGCTTAAAAAAAAAAAAAAAAAAAAAAAAAAGGAACGTTTGGCTGTCCCCTTTAACAGAGCAAAGGATGGCGCTATCAGCCAAACATGTGATGAAGATAGTTTCAGAAAAAATTAGGAAAGTGTAAAGATACCCTTGGGCTACTCCTGTACAAGTACAATACTGGGCTGACTGAGAGGAGCTACTAATTACTTGAAAGTATTAAGAAGCATTGACAGGAGTCGAAGTTTTTCAGATTGTAATGACTGGGTAGTTTGACGTTGGCATGTTTAATTGAGATGACCGGAACTTTGATGGTGGTATCATCCACGTATGTGGTGAAGATAGTCTCAGAAAAGATAGGCCTATGGTTAGGATGGGCCCTAAGGCTATCCATGCATCTGTGTGATACATGGCTGATTGGAAAGAGACACTAATGACATGAAAGTATGTGTCGGGTAAGTACGATTATAGGAATAGGTAGTAGGTAAAAGGAACGACTCTTTTAGCTTCTAAGCCAATCAAATATTTCGTATCTAGGAATGCACCTGAAGTAGCATTTCTTTGCTCAAGAGTGGTAGTGATGATGTCTTATAATGGAACGAGAACATCTGAACTCAGCTGATTGCCACAAATGAAGGATTGCAAGAACATACAGTTTTTACCTGATCCTTATAGGCAATAGATTAATTTGATGGTAGGATGATGAGGTTTCTTAAGCTTTGGTATCATCCTGATGAGGGAAAATATCCATGGGGAAAGGAACTATGTAGTTCTAAGGACAGAATTGTACATGTAGATTAGAAAAAGCACAACTCTTTTTATGAAGGACTTTAAAGAAATTAGATTGAAGCTTTCTTTAGTGTGGGAATGAAGGATTGCAAGAACATACAGTTTTTACCTGATCCTTATAGGCAACAGATTAATTTGATGGTAGGATGATGAGGTTTCTTAAGCTTTGGTGTCATCCTGATGAGGGAAAATATCAATGGGGAAAGGAACTATGTAGTTCTAAGGACAGAATTGTACTTGTAGGTTAGGAAAATCACAACTCTTTTTATGAAGGACTTTAAAGAAATTAGATCGAAGCTTTCTTTAGTGGTTAGATTTGACGGTCTTGCTCTATAGTTCTATTAAAGTAGGGATGAAGAGGCAAGCCCAAGAGAATTTTTTAAAAAATCCTCCTTAGTCAGTGAGCATATGTAGCTTTGGAATTGTCTTATAAAATTCAAAAATTTCTGATGGGGAGTGTCTTTAGCTTAGGTTTGGTTAATAATTTATTAAATTACCTGTAGAAGTGCTGCACCCAAATAAAGTGAAAGGAACAGGGATCCCGGAGAGAAATTACCTGTCTGCAAATATGTAATAACAAACGCAAACACTACATGTCCAGGTACGACTAATGATATTAGTACTCTACTGGTGAGAGCATGTAAACCTGGAAAAAAATCAATTTAGACAGGAAATATAAGTTTATAGTGTTATTATAAGAAATATAGATAAAAATAAATGATGGAAAGATTGATCGAGTGAAATTTTATCACTGTTTCACTTTGCTTTTAAATTTTACCCTCTATGATTGTTTTCTTTCTTTATTAATAGTTACTAAATAGCCAAAAAAATTAGTCTTCTTAAAATTTCATCGATAATTTACTACGTATGTTTATAAATATTTTCAATTTAATTTTTCATGCAATTTTACCTTTAGAGGTGAATACTTTTATTGGTGAGATTAATATTTTTGTCCCTTCTGGTAATTCTCCTAAGGAAACGTATTTATGAAGGGCGGTTGATAAACGACTAGCTTGAATAGAAACCAGGTTTCCACCGATTCCGTTAATTACAGGTTGGAAAGCCGTCAGCGTTTTGTACTCTTTAATAAAATGTCCTAAAGCGAGCCCACCAACACTGAAAAAAAAGTAAAACATTGGAAAAATTTCAGAATTATTGATTACTGATTTATATAAGATCAATTCTGCACATAGTTGAGCCCCGACACTTTTCGCAGCTTACCAGCAATTCTATCTTTTTTACAATAAAAAACAAGGTGTCTATAAAGTACTATATACAGAAAAAACAGTCCTAGTTCCTCTAACAATTGGAACAGGGAACCCAGATACTCGTTGCCATGCTCAAGCCTAATTCTTCCTACAAGCTCTCAATATGGAGCCAAAGACACCGTTTGATCGAGCAAACTTTCTTTATATGCCGTACACATATGTGGGCTTTGGCCCAAAAGTGAGTCAACCTCGCATGGCCTATCCTTAAGCCAGAAACACACTTACCTGATGCTACGCCATGCGACGCTACCTGATGCTACCCGACGCAAATCCAAAATCCGATTTTCAATAAGGGTGCATTACCCCCGTGCACATCTACCCGATGCAATGCCACGCTAACCTACCCGACGCTCTGCGATCCCCACTGTCCAGATTTTCGTCGGGTCGCATCGAGTACAGTCTAAGACAAAAGAACCGGACACTCATATTTTTATTCAAACTACATGTATTATTGTCGTTATATTAATTACAACATACTTATTTTAATATAAACCAAATTAACTGTGATTAAAAATTAATTTTTATTTAAAAAATTAATATTAATGGTTTGGTAGAAAATTAATCAAAACACCAGAATACGATTTTTTGATATAATGAATTTAACTAACAATTTATTGTACTCACTTCGGCGGTACATATACTAAAATTGGAACAATTTATTACACGGTTTTGCTCATAAAATTTAATTAACAATTTATTTCATAGTTTTGCTCGTAAAATTACACCATTTTGTAATGTCGGGTAGCATCAGAACAGGTCACTCATATTTTTTGTAGTTTATTTCAAACTAAGTGTAATTTTGTCGTTATATTAATTACAACATGTTATTTTAATGTAAAACGAGATCAAAAATGCATAAGTTTTTATAAACATTGTTTAATTATGATGGTTAGGAGAAACTTCATTTAACACAATTAAGTTTAACAAACAATTTATTAGATGGTTGTGCTCATAAAATTTAACTAACAATTTATTACAAAGTTTTGCTCAAAATAGTGCATTAAGAACAAAAGATGCGTTGCAATTGTGACAGTGATCATTGTGATAAATGCTGTGGACTGTACGCGACGTGTGCTTACGTCGGATAGATGTGCACACGATACCAAAACTTGGCAAGGCGTTGGGTAGCATCGGGTAAGTGTGTTCCCGGCTTTAATTTGGCGAGGATGACCCTTATTCAAGTCAGATCCTCTGAGGGCCACATATTGATAGTGCTCTTTATAAGTGAGAACATCTCTGCATGAAATGAGTTTTTTAAATGCATTATTATTGTCAGAGTGCCCGATCTTTAGCATTGAGGTTTTCTCTAAGAAGGATTGGTCAAAAGTTTTGATTTGAAAAAACAAAACTGAATTATAAGAAAATTGTTTTTAACAAAGTTTGGTATAAAATAATTAAAATAATGTACCTACATGACTATATTACATTTTTTCCTTCTTCTCGGGAAAAAAATTAATAAAGCGTAAATAGTGGCGGGACGAACCGAGAAGAGAAGCAGGAAGTAATTCGCGGCCTGCAAGATCCTGATCGGGATGGCACTGAGTCCGAGATTGGAAAAAAAAAAAGCAAAGAGGGTCAGTTGAATATAGACGTTCCGAGGAAGAGGTGGTCTCCACGAGGAAAAGAAAATATTATTTTTTTTAAAGTGTATGTGTGCGTATGGCTTGTGAACCTAGTCGGGCTGATCGAAGAGTTGATACGAAGAGGAAGGGGCTGATCCCGGCAAGTGAGGAGATCCCGTGAGTTGGTACATTTCCAATTTCTTATCAGGCCTGATAATTCTGGACTAGAGACATTAGCTATAAGTTTTGGCCTTTTGCTAGCTTTTAATTTAAAAGGATTTGCCTATGTACTTGTAAATAGAATAGTTGTGATTAGTATTCATTTTTTTTTCAATCGTAGTTTTAAACCCTAAGTAAGATAATACCTTAAGATATCTTGCTTGTGTTAACGAATTAACTCGGATAGAAGCGGGAAGAACTTCATCATTTAGCTCCCATCATAACCCTGGTTGGAAGCGCCATCAGAAAGAAGAGAGCCAGAAGTGCTACATCGCCTTTTCATCCCCTGGTTTCGGTATTTATCCTTCCCCAAAAATACCGTAGCGCTCAACGTAACACCTATAAATAAACTTTCACCTCCTCACCGACCATCACTTGTCTCTCCCTTCAACACATTCCCCCCCTTCTCCACTGAGCTACCGCCAACGTACGTGCAGCCGCAGTAAGGAAGCTGTAACAACTACAGCTCTTGGACCATATTCATTCTGCTCACTGGGATAAAACAATGTAGGAAAAAGCCAAAAAAGAAGCACTTGAGCACGAAATGACAACAGAAACGGACATTACAAAGGAAGTATCACTCACTAAAGAGCTGATCAGAATAAAGGATAAAAAATGAGAGCTTATTCAAGAAATCAGAAGAATTCTGAAGAAAATGCTGAGGGGTCAAATTCAGATAAGCTTAAAGTCAATTAAAGTTGATGTGGCCCTGAACTATTTGGGACTGCCTCAAGTCTGTTAGGCCAGAACAAAATCAACCTTTTTTGGGTAGCAGGGCATACAGAAGGCAAGGCAATTTGGAGGCTGATAAATTAGGCGAGGAAAGTTCAATTTGCCCTGAACCATTTTGGGACTACATCAAGCCCATCAGAGCAGAATAAAATCACTCTTTTTTGGGTACCAGAGCATACAGGGCAGAGCGGCAACGAAGAGGTTGATAAATTGGTCAAGGAAAGTTCAACGATGACACCTATGAGCATGATAGACTCTCGTTTCATTTGTCTTACTGGCCTTTTTTTTCATTTTACCTTCCCTCCAACTACATATATGTGATGAAACACGTACATACTCTCGCTAATATACGAGTTCAACGCCATTAAAATAAATAAATAAAAATGAACATGCAGTACAATTAGCCACCTCAAAAAATGGGAAAACTGAGGAAAACAGCAGCATCTTCAAAAATGCGAAATTGCCTAGGGAAATTAGGTACGAGGAACCACGGAAAATGTGCCACTTTCCAGGATATGGAAAAAAGAAGGATAAATTGGTAGAAAGGTTGACTAAAGACACCAGTGATGCTGTCTGCATATCCCTCATATATTTCTCTGTCAAATATTTAAAAATTGTCTGGCCAAGATTATAATGAACGATTCACTAACAGATGCTGCATAAATTAATCGAGGTATTTATTTTAATCTCAATTTATTTTAATCTAAGAAAATGTCTGCTACTTACGTGCTTATTAGCATTGCTGAAATAATTGGACTCCAGCCTGTAGTCAACACATGTTTAGTGTAATTGTTATTTGCTGTAATATACACCCAGACGGGCATTAAAACTAGAAATCCAATTATCACTATAACTGGCACCCACAGATATTCATCTAAAAAGGATTTGATTGAATTTATTATATAGCATTAATAAAAATCTTTAAAATGTAATAAAAAATAAATCAATAAGAAGATAAATTGTATGTACATATTCTTTATAATGTAAAATAAGACTTTCATTTGAATAACAATATTAATAAAAATTGTTAATATGTATATTAAAGAGAAAAAACACACACCTAATGTATGATAGAAACCTGTTGCAATATAGGATAATAATACTAATGAGGTGATATCTCCCAAACTTGCTGCAATCGGTGTGGTCACGTTATCAGGGTTGATTTTAAAATACATAGAACCAACAACAATGCCCACAGTAACGAGACCTAAAATTATGAATGAAAATAAAAAATATGTTAAAGCTGGACATATAGCAACGATTTAAATTACCTAAAAGGAAGCTCGCAATAGACGCAGTAGTAATGCTGCATGCACAGACCATTATGGCATGGCTAATATTTATCTTGTGATGAAAGACTACTACTAACAGAATTGCGACTACTGATGAAAGCAAACCAATAACCACTGCCTGGCACTGAAATAAAAATAATTTATTAAATTCACTAATTCCGAGGTCCGCTTGACCTATTAATACATTACAATTAATTAAGGTTTTTAGTTGAGATGAAAAAAAGTTAATGGCATGAGCGGGATTCGAACCCACGATCTTCGGCTTGATACGCCGCTGCTCTACCACTTGAGCTATCCTATCAACTTCCTATCTCAACCCCACCTTTTGAGTTTTCCCTCCTTTTTGCCATTTTTCAAATGTCGTTTAATCTATTTCTACGATTCTCGGTGACAAATGAAACGGCCGGAGAGCTTTAGTGAAGTATACTTCATTTTAATTCATTAAATTCACTAATTTCGTGGTCCGCTTGACCAATTAATACTAAAAAATACACTAAAGCTCTCCGTGGCCATTTCATTTGTCACCGAGAATCCAATCCGATTACACGGCATTTGAAAAATGGCAAAAAGGAGGGAAAATTCAAAAGGTGGTGTTGAGATAGGAAGTTAGTGTCGGAGTGGATCGAGGTCACGATAGCTCAAGCGGTAGAGCAGCGGCGTATCTAGCCAAAGATCGTGGGTTCGAATCCCGCTAGTGCCATTGACTTTTGTATCTCAACTAAAAACCTTAATTAATTGTAATATATTAATTGGTCAAGCGGACCACGAAATTAGTGAAATTATGTATAATTACCTGCACAAGACACAAGTTTCCAAATATCATGTTCCATTGTTCTTTTGGGTCATTCATTTTACCCAAGTTTGCTTCTGTCGACAGACGTGATGCCAACGTCATTTCTAGATTTCCTTTTAGTCCCAAAAGAGCAGGCACTAGGATAATGATCTCCAGTACTTCTTCGAAAACCTTCCAATGCTGGAATGCAAAAGAAAAGAAAAATTAACCTTCATTAAAACGAAACTACAATTGAACATCCACAACAAAATTGTACGCCTACCTGAACTGTATCCAAATATATTCCAGCCCCGACCATGGCCACTCCGGCAACAAAAAGTGGTGCAACTACTTGAAAAAATATGCTCATGAATGTCTCCTTTTCATCGTCTTCTGGTCGAATAGCTGGCGGGCTAATTTTTATGACACTGTCAGTTGGACTGGCAATGTTATCACTTCCTAAGGTAGCCCTGAAATAACAGTAAAAATGTTGAAAATAAGACTAGTATTAAAAACTACAGTTTATTTTCCAAACCAAAGCTTTTGAGAGACATAAAACTTGAATTATTCATTCCAAATTAATTTCCGAAATAGAAATTTAAAAAAAAATTGTAAATTGTACATACCAAATACACATTACTAATACATGCATATATGATTTTTTTCCCCATCAAAACATTGACACTATGGCCAGCCCTGCACCTGGACAACTCAGGTTAAGAGAAGTTGTGCTCAATAGGAGGGATTAAGGAGCGAGGAGGCCTTGAAGCCATCGAAGTTTAAAGTTTCTCAGGAGTGGATAATGTAGGCAAGGCTTGGCCAATAAAGATGGATTGAAATCTTAGTGAGGAACTTTAGCAGAAGTTTTGAAAATTTGTCTGATGCCTTTTGTCTGAAAGGAGTGGATGCGCTGGATATTGAATAGCTTTGCAGAATGCCACAGTTTCACTTTTAGCATCAGTCTTTGAATATCTCAAGGTGTTCTTGGATGATGGAGGTTGCAAGGAAATGTTTCAGGTTAGAACAAAATGGCACTTAATATGAGGAATTAAGGGGTGAGGCATTCTAAAGGCCATCATCCTTGGCGATATGGCGGGTTCTGGTGATGGGAAAGTGTAGATAAGGCTTATGGCTTGGATTAGGATGGATAGAAAGCTTGGTATGGAACCTTCGGATGGGGGATAGTATCACCTAAGACAAAAGGAACGCTGAGGCCATTAAGGATAGTGGAGGTTAGTGATGTAGTAAGGAGCTACGGCAATTTGTCTGAGAAGATTGCAGTAATGTTTTGTACAGAATTACTTGAGTTTTGATACTAAAAGACTTTGCAGTTGTCCAAGTCTCCTCTTGTTAAGTTGTCTCTTAGGCCTTGTATGGGGATTCCACATCTAGGTAGAGTCTCAAGTATCTAAGTGGAAGCCAGTAGCTCTTTGTTTTTGATGTGAAGCGGTTACATTATTTGCCATTCCGTCTTGTCCTCTACTTTTTACATCAGTTTTTGAATAACTCAAGGTGGTCTCTTGGATACAATTCGGGTTAGAAGACAGAATTGAGGTGTTGTCCACATAGGTAATGATGGTGTTTGGATGTATTAGGAAAGTCAGCAGTATAAATGGTAGGACCAAGAATGTTCCCATGTGGGCACCATCTTGTATTGGTCAGATATCTGAGTACTCATTGCTGCACCTCACTCTGAAGCAGTGATCAATTAAATTATTCCAGGATAATATAATAAGGAATGGTTCCTGAAGAGTTTTTGTTTCGAGCGATGAGGTCTGAGGCTATTGACTTTTAAGGCGACATGGAAGGTTCTCAGCATCAGAAAGGTTATGTAAAGCTTGGGCAGTTCGGTAAGGACGGATCAAGAAGTTAGTGTGAAACTTTTGGATGAGGGATCACCTCAGACAAAATGAATGTTGAGTTTGTTGCAGATAGTGAGATTAGTGAAGTAGTCAGAATTGGAGTTCTTCTGAGGATTATTGATTGGAAGGATTGAATGCGATGAATATTGGATGGTTTGGTCAAACCCCACAGTTCTTCTCCATATGCCCAAAGTGGACACTATATTTCTATAAAGTGATGCTTTTGTAGTAAGTTGTTTTTCTTACTTTAAGTAAAAATGAGATTTGATAAATGATGCACTTACATTGCAATGTGTCTTTGCCTTATTTCAGAGGGCCTACTAGCGGCGTTGCCTCCCTCTAATAGGCGTCCTCCTTCTCCACTGGTTCCTCCTACAAACAAAAAATTTGAAACATTTTAATAATTTACATTTATTGTTGCATGATAAAACTCCTTCCAGAAAAAAAAAAAAGTCAATAAAAGGTATTGTCATAGGAGTCACCTATCCAAACAATTGTTTAAAAATAGGATTCTCCAAAATTCTTTAATATTATGATGAGACATTTTACAACTAAATTTAAAAGAAAAATAGTAAATAATTTTTCTTTACAGTTAACATAATTGTGAGTTTAAAAGTCATTTGGAGTAAGAATAACATAACGCTTGTTTGTTGTGGTTCTTATCAACTAAGAAAATAAACTCAAAACAATAACAACAAAAATTTTAAATTACAATTAGATGTCTATTATTATTTATTTAAAAAGTAGTCATTACAAAAATACACATTGAGAAATATCCAAAACAACCTAACATGGGTTTCTTCACCTTGGGATCTTAAAAACAATTCCCTTTGAGGAGAAAGTAGATTCTCTACGTACCAAGTTGTTATATTAACTAGCCGCCATCTCCAGTGTGTCTGACAATACAGCAACATGCATCTGACAAACCAAACCAGCTTTACCATGCTAGGCAGACCAAAGTGATCATTAAGACCAAATTTCAGGTTCATCACACAAACCACTCAGAGAAAACTTCAAATTAAAAACAAGTTAACCGAAACAAAAATGATACATGTAATTCTGTCGGAATTAATACAAAATCTATAGATCTCGATCTTGTCTTGAATGAAAAACAAAGAAAAAATGAAAATCGAAACAATATCATCGGCCTTCTTCAGCGTCCATCCTCCTTCGCTCCCAGATAGTTGCACTGTCAATTAATGCAAACGATCCAATTGGACAGTAATTATACTTCCTTTTCAAACTGTTTGTTATCCTCAATCAAATGTAAAACAATTAAGTACCTAATGTTTTTTATGAAAATGTTCTCTCGTGGTACGAGTAAACCTATTGAAGCACAGTTTGTTTCCAGGATATTATAATGCAAGTACACTTTGTCTACAATGACATTCGGATTATTGATTTATATATTATAATATGCATATAAACAGAAATTCATGTATTAATTTGCGAATTTAAAAAAAAAAAAGATTCTTATATAAAACTCCACATGAAAATTAACTGCAATTAAAATTAAACGTTATATAAAATTAAATATATAAAGAAAAGATTCTTCTTTTAATTTGAGAAGTTTCATGTCATATTTTAGGTAAGAACAGATTTTATATTTTTTTAAATTGCTAAAATTAAAAGGAGAATTCTTTAAGTATATATTTAATTTGATATAATTTTTAATTGTAATTAATTTTCATGTGGTCTTATCATCAGCCTAATCATTATAAAAAATTACAAATATGCAGGAATTTTACATTACATGCTTGTATTTATACCATCTTCTATTTTTTTTAACGCTTTAAATCAAGAGATCATTTTAAAATCAATAATGTTTAATTAGAAATTAAAAATGGTAAATTTGACAATTAAAAAAGGTTAATTTTAAGTTATAAAGGGTTAATATGAAGTTAAAAAGATTAATTTGAAAATAAAAACTTAATTTGAAGTTAAAAAGGGCTAATTTGAAATTTAAAAAGGTTAATTGTAAGTTAATCCAAAATTTTAAAAAAGTTAATTTGAAATAAATAAACGATTAACCTGAAATGGAAAAGAATTAATTTGAAATTAAAAGCTGACATTTTGAAATTAAAAATGGTTAATATGAAAAGAAAAAGTGAATTTGAAGTTAAAAATTGAATTAATTTTTTGAGATTTAAAAAGGTTAATTTTAAGTTAAAAAGGGTTAATATGAAAAAAACGTTATTTTGAAATTAAAAGAAGATTAATTTGAAATTAAAAACTGTTATTTAGAAATTAAAAAAGGCCAATTGAAAATTACAAAAAGTTAATTGAAAATTAAAAAGGGTTAATTTGAAATTAAAAGAAGTTAATTCTAAGTTAAAAATGGTTAACTTGAAATAAAGAAGGGATTAATTTGAAATCAGAAACTGTAATTTTGAAATTAAAAAAGGTTAATTGGAAATTATAAAACGTTAATTGGAAATTAAAAATAGTTAACTGGAAATTAGAAATTGTTAATTTGAAATTAAAAATTGTCATTTCGAAATTAAAGGGGGGGGGTCAGTCTGAACAAAAATGATTAATTGAAAATGAAAAAGAGCTAATTTGACTGGGAAAAGCTTTATATTCGTGGCAAATTCAATATAATAATTTTTTTAAGGTAAATAACGAATGTTTCGGCTTCATGTTGGCTTTTCAAAATCATGTCAGATTTGATCATCAGAACCGTTTCTATTTTTTCACGCTGAAGTAGGCTATATTAGATGGCTTCGTGTAAAGGTCGGTAATTTTAAAATTCAAAACGTCTAAGATTTTTTTGTAAGTGTCAAACCTTGGAAAAGATTACAAACCGACACAAACTGGTACTCCAATGAACTTTAAAAGAAATGACCGTACAGTTAAATTATAATAATTCTGAAATAGCGTCATTTCGCTATCATTCCCGAGAACCGGCTCGTGGTGAAATAAATCTTGTAGAGAAAAAAGAAATCCGATAAATTTTGTACACTAGTTTATAAACTGCAGTGTCATCGTATTGCATCACTTTCACAATAATTTCTACCCGTTTGAACGAACGAGTATGATATAATTGATTGGGTTACTACTCGCTCATTAGGGATCTTACAAAACGTCTTAAGGCCCTCTCGCTCAAGAAATACCCCAGTTTTAACGAAATTTGTTGGATTCGATTCCCCCTTTCCTTTTAAATCATGTCATGAACATGTTAAATACTAACATTAATTAATGCTTATTTAGAAATCGTGAGATGCGGTCTGGTGTGATGTAGGTTTCAGAAAAACATTTTCTTTATCGTGCCAACGTTTCGATCTTTATTGAGATCATCTTCAGGGCTCAAAGTATTTGTCTTCTGTGTAATTGTGCCATTCTTGCGTGTCGTGTCGAGAGTGCCCAACGCAATTACACAGAAGACAAACACTTTGAGCCCTGAAGATGATCTCAATAAAGATCGAAACGTTGGCACGATAAAGAAAATATTTTTCTGAAACCTACATCACACCAGACCGCATCTCACGATTTCTAAATAAATATCGTATTGTGCCATTCTTGCGTGTCGTGTCGAGAGTGCACAAGAATGGCACAATTACACAGAAGACAAACACTTTGAGCCCTGAAGATGATCTCAATAAAGATCGAAACGTTGGCACGATAAAGAAAATATTTTTCTGAAACCTACATCACACCAGACCGCATCTCACGATTTCTAAATAAATATCGATTAACGGTCACCACACATTAATTAATGCTTTCAATGTAAAACAAGGCAACTGCGACATGACACCTTTCGAGGCAAATGACAAAATATAATAGATGCGATAGATTAAAAATATTAGTAAAAAACGGTCATTTGAAATCTCAAGAAAGCAAATATAGCTTTTTTCGCCAAAATTAACCGTATTTTAAGTTAAACCTCAAATTAGCCGTTTTTTAACTACAAATTTATATATTTTATCTCAAATTAACTATTTGTAATTTCAAATGACCTCCGTTTAATGTCAAATTAACCCTTTTAACTTTAAATTAATCCTTTTAAACCAGTTTTATTTTAAATCGACCCTTCTTAATTTCAAAATAACCGTTTTTTAACTTCAAATTAACACTTTTTATTTTAAATCGACCTTTTTAATTTCAAAATAACTGTTTGTAATTACAAATTAACCATTTTTAATTTCAAATTACCTCCTTTGATTTTCCAATTATCACTTTCAATTTCCAACTGAGCTTTTGTAATTTCAAAATAACCGTTTTTAACTTCACATTTTCAAATTAACCCTTTTAATTTTAACTCGACCCTGTTTAATTTCAAAATAACATTTTTTAATTTCTTATTACCTCATTTTAACTTCGAATTACTTCCTTTGAATTTCAAATGATCACTTTTTAATTTCCAATTGACCCTTTTTAATTTCAAAATAAGTTTTTAATTTCATATTACCTCATTTTAACTTCGAATTACTTCCTTTGAATTTCAAATAATCACTTTTTAATTTCCAATTAACCCTTTTTAATTTCAAAATAACTGTTTTAAACTCCGAATTAACCCTTTTTATTTTAAATTTAATTGCAAAATAACAATTTTTGATCTCAAATTACCTCCTTTTAATTTCAAAATAACTGTTTTTAATTTCAAATAAATATTTTTTAATTTCAAATTAACCATTTTTAACAGTTAAGAAATATGTGATTTTGCTGTGGTTAATGTGGCCTGATATCTCCTGACTTTCTTCTGTATTTGCTGGCCTTTAAACCACAAATGTAAAATGGTCAGATGGATTTGACTGTAATATAGTTTAGTTGTATCAATGCGATAATATGACTTTTTAAAATTAATGAAACAAGAAAGAAAGGCATTTAAATCCATTTTCACAAATGGTAAGGAAAGATAGAGCCGTCTGGTTAAAAGAAGATTAATGCAAAATTGCACGTTTGGTTGGATGACATCCTACATTAACTTGGAACGATTCTGTGAGAGAGTTCTGAACACGCTCATTGCTTTTCTTTTTTTTTGTAGTTGGTATGTGCCGTCCAGGGAACGTTTTTATATAGTCAAGGATGCTCCTTAGACACCTACTCTCAATTTGTAAAGTCATTTCAAGGAACACTGAAATCCTTGATTTAGTGGTGGCAACTACTGGAGAGAAACTGGGATCGGCTTGTCACTCCGTTTTGAGCGATGGCGATCTACAAATAGTTGGGAACAAGTCGGCCGTGTGCTAGGGTACCAGGACAGGTTTAAAGGAAAAAGCATTACTGCTAATGGTTACGCCGGCCGGAATGAGCTGAAGAGTGGTACAGGTTTCACTTGGCCAATTGGTTAAATATCAGCCGGCGATCATCAGGGGGTAGGTGTCCTGGGTTTGAATCAGAGCGGCCCATTCTGTCGAATCCGGAGTACTTGG